TTCTTAAGCAAAAATCTAAAGAAATGGTTGAGGTGCTAATGAAGACCATAATTTCATCATTATTATATTCTTTGGGAGATTTTCAAAGGAAATACAGTGAAGCAGTAAGAAAGCCAAATTATCTTCTAGTTTTCTGAGATGTTTTATGTAAATATGGTGAAAAAGCCTCATCCTATTTCCTTATTTCTTAATCTAAGAAAATCAGGGACTATGAAACCCAGAGAGATGCCTTCAAGTTAAAATAAAAGCACCATAAATGAACACTGAATGACTTATTATAATTTAGAAGTACAAAATTTAGTATTTGTGATGAAGAAAAATTTCCTTCTGAAACTCCCCAAATGCATGAGCATTATAAAAGTCAATTAGATCAGTTATCTAGCTTTGGGAATGCATTTCCAGGAAAGCCAAGAAAGTTCTCAAGCAGAAATTAATTTATAAGGCAAAGCCCCAACTTTATAGTCCTTAACTAAACTGTATCATATAACAAAAAAATGGATTTTTAAGTAAAAAATAAAAAATACATAGTTCCAAAACACACTGAAGTTATATAAAGTTACGAAATAATTGTGGAGCACTTCAAGTAAAATTGTAAAAGGAGCAATAATTCACCACAAGGGGGCATAATAAATACTCCTTAGATTCCAGCAGAAAGACGTTTTAAGTAGTAACATGCACTTTGATGTAGTCTACATTTTTAGTCATTTAAAAATTTCTCTCAGATGGCTACAACTTTTCAACATTCAAAGTTTATAAACCTAACAAAAAAGATTCCAGAATACTCATGCCTTGAAAAACTGTAGTGTCAAAAAGCCTCCAGAAATATTGCTGTTATCTGCTAGCAAAGGATTCAAGAGCAATTAGTTCTAATACACATTAGAACAGTTAAATAATAGGGAAGTATGATCTACAATAGTAGCAAATTTTAGTTTACCAAAATGGAAGACATGGGAAGTTTATTTTAAAAAATGGGACATATTGTCACAATAGCAAAAATAAGAGGGTGGGAAAAATTGCTTTTTCTGTATCGTTGCCACAATATCCCTTCATTTGTCCTCCATGACCACTATGTATTTGTAGCCCACAATAGCAAAGGAAGATCTCCCCCCATGGTAGGTCATGGCCTAAGGGGCTGGCCTGCTTCGTCAGCCATGTTAAGAATATAGTTAGCCATATCATCTTCAGTAGGTGCATCTGACACCACCCAAGATTCGTTTGCTCCAGTCATCTGCAGGCGACAAATAGGGCAATTCCTGTGTCGATCACTCCTATTAGGGAAGTCAAAAAAAGAACAATTTGTTTTCTTTCCTTTTTTAAAAAATGGATTTGTTTGAAAAGTAATATATGCACATAAAAAAATAAACTAAATGTTTACTTGTATTTAAATGGAAGCCATTACCCTAGGAATAACTTCTTGGCAGTGGTAGGGGAATAAGGCAGAAGGAAAGGGTAGTACCAGTCATTTTTCTAAGTAATATCTTCATAACTCTCAATTAAGACATACAATTATGCTTAAAGATCTGACAGAAGGTCCTTTGTGTTCATAAGCAATAAGATTTCTTAAGGAAACTATAAAAGTGGAGCATTCAAATTTAAGAGATTAAATTTATATGCATTAAGATTTTTCTGATAGGCAGAGAATACATATATAATTACTTAAATAAGATTTTGTTTTCCAAAGGATTTTTTTTTTTGTCAAATACTATTTGGGAAACTTTTCAAATGTTACCATATTTTAGTCAGAAATATATCATACAAGGAAAAATGTTTTTCTTTTCATCTCTCTGTAGAATCTGAGACCAAAGAGTAATGAAGCTATATCAATTGCTCTTTGGCTTTTTGTTAAAAAATTTAGAAATATGCTCCAAAAAAGAAATGTGAGAGCTCCAGCTGACATATACCATTCAGGTTGATTTCTAGCTCCCCAGAGATATCTTATGAGATACTTATATGTGCTCTTCTGGGCACATAACATCACAATTTAAAAAAAAAAACTTCTGATTCTGGCCAACAAGAACCAGATTTATCTTCCCACTAAAACAATTAAAACATGGGACAAAATTTATAAAGTAGTGCTACAATATAATGTTTCATATAAAGCACTGGACATTAGGCAACACGAACAGTGGTTCCTGAGAGGAGGTAAGCAAAGAAAGGGGGCCTAGACAGATCTAGATGGAACCTGACAGACACCCCAGGTTGAATAGACAGGTCAAACTCTGCAGGCTAAGGAAGCTAGAGTTCACAGGGCAGAACACTGGAGAGGAGAGAGCTACAGAGAGAATTCTGGAGATCTACAAATAGTTTCCCCTTCAAATGAGGAAACTATGTGAGGCTGAGGATTTCAGAGAACAAAGCTTACACAGGGCATGGGATACTGCCTGTTGCCCACCAGTCAGACTAGAAAACCACATAATTTTTAAATCATTGAGTAGAGTACTCTGAAAGGTCTTTTCTCACTAGTGGGACATAATTAGCATTAAACATTTATGGGGTCCTTCCTAAAAATCACAAAAGCAAGACCCAAAAGGATCAAACTATTTCCAAGTAACCTAATTATATTCCAGAATAAAACTCAAGAATATTTATAGTAATACAAAAATATCCAGTACCTAAAAAGGCAAAATTCACAGTATCTGGC